AGGTCTGGACTATTTTGACACCTACTCTCTAATAACAAGGATCACATCCATTCGTATGCTTATTGCTATTACAGTGCTATACAATCTTGAGATACATCAAATGGATGTTAAGACAGCTTTCTTAAATGGGGATTTATATGAAGAAATCTACATGGAACAACCCGAAAGGGTTTGTAGTACTAAGGAAAGAAAAGAAAGTGTGTCGGTTTGTAAAATCTCTCTACGGATTAAAATAAGCTCCTAAGTAATGGCATGAGAAAATTGATCATGCTATGCTAACCAATGGATTCAAGACAAACGGATGTGGCAAAGGTGTCTATGTTAAAAACACTGACAAATGATATGTTATAGTTTGTCTTTATGTGGATGACATGCTCATAATTCGTAGTACTCATAATATGATCAAATCAACCAAACAAATGTTGAACAAAATATTTGATATGAAAGATATGTGAGTAGCAGATGTTATTCTAGGAATAAACATTACTAGAACATCTAACAGATATGTATTGTCTCAATTACATTATATTGAGAAAATACTTGGTAAATATATCAAAGATGATGCAAATGTGCCAAGAACACCTGTATATGTCAATCTTTATTTGTCAAAAAATAAAGGTGATAGGATGTCTCAGTTAAAATACTCCCAGATTTTTAGAAACCTAATGTACCTAATGAATTGCACACATCGTAATATAGCATATGTTGTCAGTAAGTTATGTAGGTACACTAGTAACCCCGGAGAAAATCATTGGAAAGCAATGATGCGAGTTCTTAGATATCAAAGAATTACTAGTGATCATGGCTTAAACTTTACTCGATATCTAGCAGTACTTGAAAGCTATTGTGATGCAAATTGGATATCGGATACTAAAGATTCAAAATCCACTAATAGGTATATCCTTACTTTAGGGGGAGCAACTGTTTCATGGAAATCCTCGAAACAAACGTGCATTGCACAGTCTACAATGGAATCTGAGTTCATTACTTTAGATAAAGCAGGAGAAGAAGCTGAACGGCTTCGCCATTTCTTAGAAGATATTCCAATGTAGCCAAAACTTGTGCCAGCTATTTGCATTCATTATGATAGTCAATCTACTATAGGAAAGGCACATAGTCATATGTATAACGGTAAGTCACAACACATTCGTCATCGACATAATACCGTTAGACAATTGCTCTTAAATGGTATAATCTCAATAGATTATATAAAGTCTAAGGAGAATATCGCGGATCCTTTAACAAAAGGTTTAGCAAAAAAGCAAGTGACTCGTTCATCGAAAGGAATGGGGTTAAAACCTATTACATAAGAGTGATCATAATAGTAACCCTACTTAGATGACTGGAGATCCCAAGAACTAAGTTCAAATGGACAACTAAGTTATGTGTGGCTCACCAGAAATCACAAAGGGATTAAATTCTCTATCCATTCCTATAATGAGAGTGATATCTGCAACATGTGTTGTATACAGGGGATTAAGGGTAAGCTTTGCTTTTAATGATTACTTATATCTTGACATAGGAATAATAAGTCAAGCTGAGTATAAGGGATACTCTCAATACGAATCATCTATATGAGTGCCGAACTAGGGCCGATTCTATAACAATAAAGAAGCTAATTCTCTAGAGCACTCATGAATAACCAAAAACATTTAGGGCCAAAATGAACAGAACCTTGAAAACCATGATGTGTCAGAAGATATATTTTATGTGAAATCCATTGGGGGTGTTTGTTTCAGCTTTTCAGAGCTAACTTATGGATTTTAGCTTTGAAAAAGTTATTTTAGACTGTTTGGTTAAACTTATTTCAAACAGCTTCTAATTCTAACAGCTTATTTTAACTAAAAAAAGCTGATTCTGAGAAACTGCTCAAATGAACAGAACCTTGAAAACCATGATGTGTCAGAAGATATATTTTATGTGAAATCCATTGGGGGTGTTTGTTTCAGCTTTTCAGAGCTAACTTATGGCTTTTAGCTTTGAAAAAGTTATTTTAGACTGTTTGGTTAAACTTATTTCAAACAGTTTCTGATTCTAACAGCTTATTTTAACTAAAAAAAGCTGATTCTGAGAAACTGCTCACCCCTTGCTTCTGATTATCAGTTTTTGCTGTAGACATGTTAATTTATGGTTATACTCTTAAATTTTTTTATTTTTTATTTTTTTAAAAATAGAAAAAGACCCAAATGGACTATAGATTATTATTATTATTATTTTTTATGAGAAATGTAGATAAACAAAAAATAAAAATTAATTGAAAAAACTATTTCACAACTTATTTAACAAACACTACTCAGCAACTTAAATCTATAATCCAACAGCTACACCAAACAGATTAACAACTTCTGATTAAAGTTATAATCTATAATCTGTTAAGTTATAATCTATAAGTTGTTTTAACAGCTACACCAAACGGGGCCATTGTCTTTGCTTACACTAATAGTTGAATAATTCAAGGCATCGCGTCCATTGGTTAGCTAGTAAGTCCAATAGGTTATCACTAGGAAACGTTCAAGGCCGAAAGCTACCTATCCTGACACAAGATATTTTCAATTTATAATCTATCAACAAATTTTGCATATTGTTGCATTTTCATTGTCATCAAATTCCATTCATGTGGGGCATTGTAAGAAATGGTTTTGGAAAAAATAGTTTTTTCGAAAACTTTGGTCTATTTTTTAAGTGGGACCCATGCGCCAAAGTCGGCTGGTCTATGTGGAAATGCGTTCCTTGCCACGTAACGGTTCACATCGTATATTTGGTTGCTCAAAACCATTATCGAGTTAATAAGAAATCAATGCCAAAATGCGCTCCATGAAAATGATGTTTTAGTCAAGTTTTCATAAGGGATGGAGAAAAGGCTTGTTCCACATTGCTTGAGCAGGCAAACTTGGTGTCGGTTTATAAGCCTTGAGCTTGCATCTTGGGGAAGGCCCCAAGGGGTACCCAAGTTTTGTAGAAGGGGAGATTATGGGAAAAGTGGGCCTTGATCCATTGGACCCAAAAGCTACCACGGCCGCCCGGACCGGACCGGACCGGGCTTGGGCGTGAGTATGAGTGCAAGGTGTGAGGTTGGGTTAGGCTTGTGTAGTCTAATGTTTATCTTTTGGGGCAAAAAATATTTGAATTTTATTTTTCTAAAATTAAATTATTGCCGTTTGAAATTTGAATTTTGGCTTGAAATTCAAATAAATTTCGAAATGATCTCAATGTTTTTGAACGTTGGCAATTTAGTCCAATGAACATTTCCCTCCAACCCAAACAGTTGGTTCCCACGTAACGGTTCACATCGTATATTTGGCTGCTCAAAACCATTATCGAGTGAATAAGAAATCAATGCCAAAATGCGCTCCATGAAAATGATGTTTTAGTCAAGTTTTCATAAGGGATGGAGAAAAGGCTTGTTCCACATTGCTTGAGCGGGCAAACTTGGTGTCGGTTTATAAGCCTTGAGTTTGCATCTTGGGAAGGGCCCCAAGGGGTACCCAAGTTTTGTAGAGGGTGAGGTTATGGGAAAAGTGGGCCTTGATCCATTGGACCCAAAAGCTACCATGGCCACCCGGACCGGCCCACGTAACGGTTCACATCGTATATTTGGCTGCTCAAAACCATTATCGAGTGAATAAGAAATCAATGCCAAAATGCGCTCCATGAAAATGATGTTTTAGTCAAGTTTTCATAAGGGATGGAGAAAAGGCTTGTTCCACATTGCTTGAGCGGGCAAACTTGGTGTCGGTTTATAAGCCTTGAGTTTGCATCTTGGGGAGGGCCCCAAGGGGTACCCAAGTTTTGTAGAGGGGGAGGTTATGAGAAAAGTGGGCCTTAATCCATTGGACCCAAAAGCTACCATGGCCGCCCGGACCGGACCGGACCGGCCTTGGGCGTGAGTATGAATGCAAGGTGTGAGGTTGGGTTAGGCTTGTGTAGTCTAATGCTTATCTTTTGGGGCAAAAAATATTTGAATTTTATTTTTCTAAAATTAAATTATTGCCGTTTGGAATTTGAATTTTGGCTTGAAATTCAAATAAATTTCGAAATGATCTCAACGTTTTTGAATGTTGGCAATTTAGTCCAATGCACATTTCCCTCCAACCCAAACAGGTTCATTACTTGTTCAAATCCAACCTGACCAGGTTTTTTACCTATTCAAATCTGTCACGAACAGGTTCTTTTCCTATTCAACTCTGTCCTGAATAGCCACCAAGTCTCCTCTAAATAAACAAGTCCTCCATTTGGTTTTTCATTCAATTTTCGTTCTTTCTTCTAATTTTGCTTCCTGCATTTTGTTACATAAATTTTCTATAAGAAAGAGTATAAATACAAAGTGTGTTTGCTAGACATTTAGTTTGTAGTGCTGCTACTAATTGTCGTCAATCATTTTATCCTAGGAGATAGACGTTCACATTCTGAAAGCATCACTAAAAAAAATTAAGGTTTTAGAGACCAAAATTTAGAGACAAAATTATTTTTTTGGGACCAAACATTTTTATTACGAAAAGTGTCGTCATTATGTTAGCAATGAAAATTGGATAGTAGTGATGAATTATTATCTTTTTGGGACCAAATTTTTTATTTCAAAAAATAAACCATTTTAAGACCAAATTATTTTGTCCATAAAAGTGTATTTATTAATGACATTTCCAAAATTTTGTTACTAAATGTCTTATTTTTTACTTTTCGAGACGACATTTTAGCGACTATCCTCACGACGATAGAAGTTGGTCCCTAAATGTCTTTTGTAAGAAAATTTTCACTTTTAAAGACTTAAAAATTTAGTTTCTAAAACTCTTATATGTTGTAGTACACCGTGGAGAGAACGAATCTGTCTTAAGGAAACAATGTTGAACACTAGACTTGATTGAATTTCCAAGAAAGTAATACTGTAAGTAGATTGTTTATTTATTTATTTATTTTCCTCAGATTTTGTTTTGTTTTTGTAACAAAACTAAGAATATGTTTTGTTTATTTTTATTGTTTGTATTCTATGTCAATTTTAGTCATCAAAATGAATCTCTTGTTTCTTAATTTATTCTTCAAATATAATGAAAATTAGCTAACATGTTTTACAATAAATTATAATTTAGTAATCAAAACAAAACAATATCTAAGACTTTATAATCAAATAAACATTTGTCGATAACTAGGACTTCCACTTTATTTGCTCATCCCTCCTTCAAACACTGGCGCCGTCGCCATGCCAATGCCATAGTTCTGTCTCTGCAAATTCCCTTTCCATCCTAAACAATTCAAAAGAACCATCACAAAACAACACATTATATATAAATAGTTCATACATATAAATATATTTGTACACATATCAATGCAACTAGTAGGAAAATTATAATTTTCATTGAACGAATTTCACCAACTTTTTCAATTTTTTTTTTGTCTTTTATAGGGATTTACATAACAAACCACACATGTGGATGCAGGATTCGCTATATACATTAAATAGTGCGATCCACAACTATTTTTTACAGGAAAATGGTTTGTAAACACAAAATTTATACACAAAACACATTCAGAATGATGTCAATGGTGTTTGTGTAACTATGTGGATAATAGTAGATGTTTTGATTAGAAATGAAAAGATCTAAGAATCTGAGCTATATCATTCTGTGTGAATATCATGTAGAAAAATTTTGTATGTACATCATTTCACTTGTCTAGATATGATAATTTTATGTACAAATTACATTTGATTTTTGAATCAACGTAGGAAGCGAAAAAAAAATAAAAAATAAAAAATAAATAAAAAAGTATGAAATCTTGACAAAAAATTATTTGTTCCAAAATCTCCGAAGATTATTTGTCCCAAAATCTCCATTTCCAATAAAATTGAAATTGCACGATGTCATGACAGGATTGGCAAAATATAGAAATGTTAGAAGATGATTGTGCAACTAAAAGTGTATTACTAATAAGGAACAAAAATTTCGAAACAAAGTATTGTATCAAGTATTACTACGCGTGCATCTATATATTAGAAGTGATAAGTGTGCATATGATCATTTTGTTTTAAAAAAATAAGATTGTCAACTATATTTTTAAATTGAAAATCTAAAAATTGAAATTAATTCAAAAAAATAATAAGTTCAGATATTTGAAAAAAAACAAAAAAACAAAAACAAAACAAAAAGAAATCCTGAATTTAGGGCATGATTGTCCTTTCATTTGTTTTAATTTTTTTTTTTTTCTGTTTTGCTTTTTGATCAACAAATAAGAAGATTTATTAGATAGAAAGAAAAGATACAATGAGATGATTGAGAAAATTTAGAGTATGACTGCCCATGTAACTAGTATAGGAATTTTTTGGGAAAACCTAAAAAATGAGATATCAACACCAACTCAAACCTTTACATATATAATAGTATACATAGATATAGATAAATAAATAAATAATTGTACAGATATAGAATGGAAGGAGAGAAATGGATACCTTTGTTCAAGTCGAATCCACGGTTTGTGAGCTCACGATACTCTTGACACAAGGCGCATTGCTCGCAAAAGCAATGAACTAAACAATCACCACAAGGGCTTTCTTGCAACATGTATTGGTTCCTCAACTTTTTACGATAAGTACAAGAGTAGCAACATGCACAACCAGTCACAGCCGCTATTAGTGCGTATATTGCTCCGCTAGCACCACAAGCTAACACCAACCACAAAACAAATTTTTAACATCAAATTTCATATATAAACCTATGATATGAATCACTATAGGTTGTATATGGGTGAATTTAGCCATATCAAAACGAGTTAAACATTAAAATAATTCAACATAAAGCCGTTTATCTAATAAATGATTTTAAACGGATTAAATTGAATTTGATATGAATTAAACAAATTGATTTGATCAATTAGTTTATTTATTGAACATGTTTTTTGAGTAAACGGTCTAGTGGAGATTGTGTAGCAGTGATGGATTGTGGTGAGGGTAGTATAGGGGTGATGGGGTGGTGGTGGCCGTCAAAATCAATTAACCCAAGCTTGCCTACTAAACAGACAAGTTAGGTTGAATTGGGTGTAATATAGGTAAAAAAAAACAAAATTAATCCAATAATACTACAATAAATTAAGATTTTAGAGACAAAATTACTTTTTAAGAACGAAATATTTTTATTGTGAAATGTATCATTTTTATATTTTTAAAGATTAAATTAGACATTTAATGATGAATTATTATTCTTTTTGGACTAAAATTTTTATTTCAAAAAATAAATCATTTTGGAACTAAATTATTTTGTCTCTAAATGTAAAATTATTAGTACATTTTTTAAAATTTGTTACTAAAAGTTTTATATATGTATATATATTTTGGATGACCCTTTAACAGCTATTTATAACGAAAGGAATTAATACCCAAATATTTTTTACAATAATTTTTTAATTTTGGAGATAAAAATGTTTAATCTCAAAAAAAAATTGTTTATTATAGTGTGAACTCCTTTTAAATAGATGGTGAAAGTTGTGGTAGTGTGATGACGGATCTATTCGATGGTTCTAAATAACAGTATTGAGACACATATCAGTATCAAATGTAATATAATAATATCGAATAAATTAAATGATATGTATTGAAAATTGAAAGATTTGATGGTGAAATTTTAAAAATCATTCACAATTCCTTAAAGTTAATGATTCACAAATTTTCCTCTGTTAAACTTAATTTGTCACATTTTAATTAATATTTTGAAATCCTCTTATCCTTTTTGGTGATGTGCAGCTGAGTTTCGCCGTGTGTCCACAACGGTGGTAAAACAAAGCACGTGGCATCAACAACTGGCTATAAAAACACAGCCCCAAACCACCTTAATTATCTATAGAACCGCTGGTTTCCATAAGGACACGTGCGGCTATAAAGTAATAAAATTTGGGCAAACTTCAATTGAATTACGTGTGATTTATCTTTTTAATATTTAAAAATAATCAAATAAATTTTTTTATGATTTTAAGACTAGAATGTACTGTTAATATTCCGTCTAATTTAACAGTAAATGTAAAACACGTAGCATAGATAAAAGGGTTATATGTTCAGCTTTAAATCTTTATAGGATAAATGGCACATGAAATAAAGCATAGGAGGTTAAAATGCATTGTCTTTCGGGATAATGAAAACACATGAATATTTTAGTATTTTTTATTAAATTGTTAGCAAATCTAATGGTGCACATTAATTTACAAAGCATAAGAGGGTTATATGATCATTTTTAAATATTAAGAGATAAACTGCACATAACTCAAACCATAGGTGTAAATTGAAATTTTTCCATAAATTTTTCAGGTCGATTTGCTTAAAACTGGTTTGTTTATATATTATGGACCGGTTGGTGGTATGAATCGCCCGTTCCACCTGCGATTTTCCTTCATACTATTAAACGGGTCTATAACTGGATCGACAAGATTTTTTTTTTACATATAAACCGGTTCAACGGCTAATTTTTTTTAATCAACAAAAATTAATTATTAGTTGTTAGATTATCACATTTGACAATTAGTCTCCACCTTCACCAGGTGATTGTCCTTTTAATTCAACTCTCCTAGCCTTAGGAAAGCTATAGTACCCAACTAGAACTGGCTGAGTTTTAGAACTATTTTGAATGTTAATGGTGGTGTGATAGTAATGAATGGTTTAATCGTGTGAAATTAAAAGGTTCACACTTTTAGGATAAGCTTCCTAACTCAATGATTCACTATTAGTTTCTACAACTTACTGGTTGCTCCTTCGTCAACAATCTCTGCTATTTGTCCGAAAGTAAAGCATGGACACCAGCACGTTATACAACCTGTCAAAAAAAATAAAAAAAATGTATTTTTAGATTAACAAACAAAACTATTAAAGATAGTTCTAAATTTTGAATCCAATACAAGTTTAATTTGATCAAATGAGATATACTCACAGTTGGGAAGATCATCGAAGCAGCCACAGAGGCCTGTGGACCAAGGACCCTCTTGCTGGGTTCGGGGCTGAGCTCGAAATGGGGGATTGTTGGAGCTTAGTGGTGCTGGAGGACCTGAGTATTTCTGATCATAAGTTGAGTTTGAGGAATACATGGTTCAGCAATGGAAATCAGATAGTTTCAAAAAGGCAAAGAAGGTTTCTTTTGGACAAGTAGAATAATTGCTGCTTTCTAAGATATCAGGTAATAACAAGTTATTTATCGTATATATAGAGAGGGGGCTTTGGATAAAAAAGAACGTTGACAAGTCTAGTGCCAACTTTGATTTTTTCTCTAAAATTGCTTTTTTGAAACATTCAAAACAAAGAAGTGGTTGATTTGGTTTGAGGTAAGTCGCAAATGTTTATTAGCTCAATCTAAAGGTAATTTGATGTTTGACCTCTGCTCAAGCTCATGAATAAGTATGAATAAGGGTTAATTATATTTTTGTTATCGATATTTTAAATTGTCTTAATTTGATGTCTTATGTATGAAAATATTTTAATTAATTCTTAATGTTTAAATTGTGTCAATTTGTCTCCAAATGTGTAAAAAGTATTTTGATTTAGCCTTCTAATCTAATTCTATTAATAGAGGCAATTTAAATATTGATGATCTAAATTGAAACATTTTTTATATGTCGAGGACTAAATGGACACAATTTAAACAATGGTACCAAATTGAAAAAAATTTATACATTGGGGACCAATTTTGTGTTAATTGCATTTTTAGTTCCTAAAAATGGAGCCCGTTATGAGTTTTAGCTTGATAATCTAAATCATTCATTTTGTACGACCTTTCATGTATATCAATCACAACAAAAAGTAGAATGATCCGATAATCATAACTTGTTTAATTATCACATTTGTCACAAAAACAAAAAAACAAAACAAAACAAAAATGAAAAAGAAAAGAAAAAAGAATGGTCTAATTTCAAAAACAGACTTGTTGTCTATTATTTTAGACACATGCGATAAATTAAACAAGTTACAATTGTCGAATCATTTTAATTTTTTTATGTGGATGATACATCATGTGGCTCATTGTGGACATTTCACTTCAAAATAAAATATCATTGAAGATGAATTTATTTACCATAATGACATAGTCACATTATTCTTGTCAAGTTTTATTTAAGAATAAAAACTTTCTATACACGAAGGACCTTTTTATTTTTTTTTTATAATAATCGAATGTCTGAACCAGCTTATGCATACAAATACATTTATGATAAAATTCTAGGACAATGAGGTTGTTTGGTGTGGATTATAGGAGGTGATTATAGTTTATTTTAATTTGAAAATCTATGTCAAACTGTTTGATGCAACTTCTGCTTACAATTTTTTGGAGAGAAATAGTTTATATAAACTGAAAAATGATTATTTAAAAGCTATGGAAGGGTTGCTTTTTGATTTTTGATTTTTGCTTTCTGATTGTCATTTTTTAACTTACAATAAATTGCACCAAACAATACCAATATTCTTGGCTTATAGGCTTTTTGTTCAACAAATACCACTCTATTTAGTTAATAGTTTTTAAAAATAATTTTTAAATTTTATTTTTTATTTTTCTCCTTTAATGAAATTTTAAATGTTTTAATTAATTATTTTTATAAATTCACTTAATTTAGATACACTTAAAAATAAAATAATTGTGTATTTAAAAACAATCAATAAGTACAAAAAATTAAAAAGAAAAACAAAAATACAAAAATTCAATATATTTTCATGTTTTTAAAAAAAATCGTAAATATTTTTACTTTTTAGTTGCATTTAAATGCATCCAAAAATTTATAAAATAATTAAATAAAAATGATTAAAATATGAAAAAATAAAACACAAAAAACAAAAAAAAATGGACTTGTTTAGTTTTGAGCTTTCAAAAATAAGTTTTAAATTTTCAATTCATATTTTTTTTAGTAAATTTTTTTAGATCTAATTAATATGGAACACTTAAAAGCTAAAATATTTGTTAATTTTAAAAAAATAAGTATAAAAAATAATACAAAAGTGTACTAAAGTTTTAATTTTCTATATTTAATGAATTTTTAAAATATTTTTCACAAATTTTGTATTTCTTTTTTTAAAAAAATGTAATATTTGATCGATTACATATTAATAATTATTCGATTGATTGGTCTGAAGTTATCGTGAAGCAAAATTTGTCTAAATGAATCTTAAAAGTAAAAAGAAAATTAATTTATTAAAATATTAAAAAAAAAGTTTTAGTTTAATGTCTCTGATATTATGATTTTATAAGATAAAAGACATATAACATTTTCATAGTAGTTGGGGTTCCTCAACATTTTCATAAACAAATTTCAGTACACAAAAATTTTGGCACAAAAAAATTACAAGACAAATAAATTTGTCTTTACAAAAAATTGTAGCTCTCCAAAAAGAAATTTCACAGAGAAATTCCAACTCGTCATAGAAAAATTTGAATTTCTCTATGACGAGTTGAAATATCCTTATGACAAGCTGAAATTTCTTTAATAATATTATTGATGGACTTTAATTAATAAGAAAAAACAAATCAAAAATTATTTTTGAAAATTCAAAATCAATAAAAATCAAAACCCTTTTCATTTTTTTTTTCATATTTTATTTATATTTATATTTTTTAGATGTACTTAATTTATGTATATTTTAAAAACTATAATATTTATGGAAAAATCTACTAAAAATCTACTAAATTTGTATAACTTTTTGTATTTAATAACTTTTTTACAAATATTTTATTTTGAGGTACATTGAAATTAAATATATTTACAAAAATAAAAAATTAATTATATTATTAAAAAAAAAGTTTACCAGAAAGATAAATATTAAAATTAAAAAGTTAAAATAATAGTATTAAAAACTCAAGCCAAGGTAGTCTTTCGAGTTGACACGCACCGCACCGTGTAATAAGATGACAGGAAAGTTTCGACACGCATTCCGAAATATGAAAATGATATATTTTGGATACAACACTTCTTGATGATAATGATGTTATTGTCATATGTTTAAAAACTGTCATTCAACGATGGAAATCCATTGTTGTCCACCATAGTGGTACAGGTGTAAATTTAGTCCGGCTTGATTAGGTCTCTTCCACGTCGAATCGTCTGAGTTCTTATTAAAATTCAAATCGGATTGCAGGTCGAAAAATTAAATCTAAGCACAGGAATAATCGGGTCTTGGACGGGTCAGGTCGAAAAATTATTATTTTTTTTTTTTTACCAAAAAATTATTTTTTTCTATTAAAAATGATGATGGGCCTTGGGTGGACTCGGACTTAGGTCGGGTTCCAAGGCCGGGACAGGTTTCAAAATGACTGTCCAAGCCCATGGTCCTAGGCTAGACTCGAGCCCGAGCCCACCTCACGCCGAGGGCAGGTTTCGGATTGCGGACCATTTTTACTCCCCCACTTAGAGGTTATATGCATCCTATCCTAAATTGAAGTTATTTTTATCACAAAATTTTATAACATCAACTATAAGTATATAATCCCATTATAAATAGACGTAATAAAAATATGTCGTAATTAAGGCTTGGTTTGGCATAACCTAAAAAAATTAAAAAGTCAAAAAGTCACTATACTATTTAAGTCACATCATTTTATTTAAATCACATCACCTCTCTAACACATCACATCAAACCCAACTCAAACTCAACCCATATAAGCCAATAAGTCAAAAAGTATACTTTTTTAGAACATCCCAAACCAACCCTAAGTCATAAATTTTTGTAATATGAATCACAAAATATTGAATATTTTATTATGCTAATTTGTGATAAGTTTCCTTATTTTGTAATCAATGTTACCAAATTTTATAATAAAATTAAACTAATTTGTATAAAGTGCATATGGTATGCACTTCTAAGGGTGCACACTATAAGTTTTTCTTCGACGATACATATCTTTTACATATATAGGATAGTAACTTTTTAACTTTTTAATTTTTTTTAAAAATGTCAAACTTAACCTTAATAATTTATTTAGGGTAAATAGCATTTTCTTTTTCCTTGGTCTCTTTCTATTGATGATTTCAATGCAGGGAGGACCTTTTATTCAGTGCAGGATTTTATCTCTAATCTGCACCAGATTAGGATCTCACCCAAAGATATTTGGTGGGCTTTGAAGGCTTTCGGTTGATGGATGCCTGGTGCTTGGTTTAGGCTTTGCTAGTTTTATGTTTAGCTGCCCTCTATTTTGCTGGTCTTGTTTTGTTTGGATGGATCTTGTACGTGCCTATGATTACACTTTTTTAGGTGTCAACTTAATTGGAATTCAACCCCGCTACAGACCTCTAGTGACTTCCGAATCCCAGTGACATGGCAGATGAGGTGGCAGCTGATGTGTAAACACAGCTGAAAAAAAAAACAAAACAAAACAAAACAAAAACAAAAACAAAATTTGGAAAAAGTGGGAACCAAACCTGTCTCCGCCATCTTCCCTCGTCTATCCTCGCCTCTTGCCGCCATCCTCTTCCTCCACCGTAGCTCTCCACCGTCGATGACGGCCATAACTTGCCGAAAATTTCTGCAAAAGTGTATTCTGGACAACGGCCATAGCTCGCTGGGAATTTCGACGATGGTAAAAGTTTTGAGCAATATCAGATTACCGTGCCTCCAATGCACTTTTGAATGGTAATATCTCCATAGCTCGCTCTCATCTATCCTCAATCTTCGTCGTTCTCATCAATCTGGTTATCCTCTGTCTATCTCCTTCTTCCGCTGTGTCTCTGTCTCGCATGTAATCTGGATCGGTGGTTTATGAGGTAAAAAATCAATTTCATATGACTAATCCAGCTTGAGTTCTCTTTCAGTTATATGCTAATTCTGAAATCTGAATAGTGAAATGAGTAAATGAGTTCTCTTTCAGTTATATGCTAATTCTGAAATCTGAAATCTGAATAGTAAAATGACTAATCTGAAATCTGAACTCTGGAGTTTGTCTATATGCTAATTCTCATGTATAGAGTTCTCTTTCAGTTTAAAATCAGTAAATGAGTATATATATGGAACTTCCCTAATCTGAAATTTGTCATTTTGGTCCTATGAAATCTGAAATATATATGAGTAATCTGAAATATGAGTAATTGTTATATAATATGAAATATGAAATTTGGGCAGTGTTATATAATCTGTAATCTGAAATATAAGTAATTTGTAGCTATTTGGGCAGTGTTATATAATCTGTAATCTATCATTTTGTAATCTATAATCTGTAA